CAAGTGGTTACTGTTGCCTTTCTATTTGCTCGAACCAGTCTGGCCATTCTCCTCTGACTTCTGGCATCAACAAAGCATTTGCGCCCACAGAAATGCCGCTCACTGGATAGATCAGCAGTTTCTAGATCAGCAGTTTCTGAAACCCCCAGACCAGCCCATGTGGCACCAACAACCATGCCACGTTCAAAGTCACTTAAATCATCTTTCTTCCCCATTCTGATGCTCGGCTTGAGCTGCAGCAGATTGCCTTGACCATGTCTACATGCCTAATTGCATTGAGTTGCTGCCATGTAATTGGCTGATTAGAAAATTATGTTAACGAGCAGTGAGTTTATATGATATTGGACAATATTCAATGTACAGCTAAATTACATGCAAATTAAAATGCAAATTAAGTATGTGGTTAAATAAATATGTGTATATGTGTGCATAAACGTTTATTATTTTTATTGTTTACATATTTACTACTTTATACACAGAACAGTGGAAACTGGTCAAAACTTTCTGAATTTTATTCAGGTTTATAAATCAATTGACTTTCTCAAAATGGAATCACTGCCTGGCCAAGACAAACCAGTCGACACACAGTACACAGTACAGCACACTCATCCAACACTTTACTGCATCTTTCATCACTGGCCTGCTCCGTTTGGAATGCTGCCATTATGCCTCTTTGCATATAGGATTTCAAGGAGGGAAAGCTGTTCTACTTTATAATATTGTCCTTGGAGTCTTGGCAGCAATAATGTATCAGCTGTAAACTTTTTCACCCCGCGAAGGAGATGTCTGAGGGGATGGCTTTTGTTTAATATATTTTTGGAGGCATGGAATCGAGCGATGAGATTCTCAACACCCACCCAGCCCTGAGATTGGACAGCATGGCCATAGAGTTCTCTATATGGCTGTCCTTCAGAGTGATTCAGAAAAGAGCATTGTGGGTAGAAGCTGCTGTCAGCCCCAGTGGACTCACCGCTTGGCCGATAATTGCTTAAAGCTCAGTGTTAAAAGGTATTTGCAGATTGTTGCATTTGGGCCTTAAGCCAAGGATTTTTTTTTTTTTTTTTAAAGCACAAGAGAACTGTAGAGACTGCTGACTAGAGACATTTTTAGTTTAGGGCTGTTTTCTCAGGCCCTGGCATCCTCTATTATTCAAAGTGTGAGTGCTTTTTTTTTCCATAGTGGTGATTAAAATGTCTGGCCAGTTTTCATCTGCGTTCTTATTTTGAATGGCATTTACCTTGATCCTGAATGTTTTTCTGGATGTAGCCGAAAGGTTGAAAAAAATACATGCTGAAAGAGGGGGAAGTGTATTGAGCAAATGGGCCTGTGAGAGGAACAGCATGTTATGACAACCTTGCAGTTCAGGGTTTGTAGTTTTTCTACCATTCTTACAAGTCTGTACTCCAAGAGTGACGCAGTTAGCATATCGAAACTTTAAACTAGGGTTTGGAGATTAATCGAAGGTGATTTTCATGCGTATTTGTCAATAAAGCTGCTTCTAGTAAACCTCCATCACTTTCATTGCTTGGTGTTCCATTTGCTACACAGAGCCATAGTACGCTGAGTATAAGCTATGCAAAACATCAGTTTAAAAATCTAAATTGATTTAATTGAGCAATGATGACATCGAAATAATCATTCTGTGATTATGAAAGCTGTTTGCCAAGCTTCAGAGATGCTCTTCTGCACACTGCTGTTGTAACGAGTGGTTATTTGGGTTACTGTTGCCTTTCTATCAACTTGAAGCAGTCTTGCCATTCTCCTCTGACCTCTGGCATCAAGGCATTTGCACCCACAGAACTGCCGCTCACTGGATATTTTCTCTTTTTCGGGTCATTCTCTGTAAACCCTAGAGACGGTTATGCGTGATAATCCCAGTAGATCAGCAGTTTCTGAAATACTCAGACCAGCCCGTCTGGCGCCAACAACCATGCAACATTCAAATACACCTTAATCACTTTTCTTCCCCATTCTGATGCTCAGTTTGAACTGTAGCAGATCGTCTTGACCATGTCGCTGGCAAGTGATTGGCTGATTAGAAATTTGCGTTAACGAGCAGTTAGACAGGTGTACCTAATAAAGTGGCCGGTTAGTTTATATGTGTTTTTTTGCACATTTTAAACAACAGAACAGTCAAAACTGGTAAAAATGAGTCATAAATGTGCAGAATAAAGGTCTGTTTAGATCCAGGTATATAAACCATTTCTCTTTCTCAAAATGGAATTGCTGCACACACCATCCAAAAATGCTAATTAAATGTATGCTCAAAACTGGAATATCGTATAAAAGTGGTGCGAACGAGTCAAAGAGAACCAAATGGTCACAATTTATTTGTATTTATTTATTTATTTGCATTTGAATGTAGTAATTAAAGTTTATTAAAGACTATAATTTATTTAATTTTTATGAATTTATTGACTTTTTTCAAAACTGACTTGCCATTCATTCATTCATTCATTCATTCATTTTCTTTTCAGCTTAGTCCCTTTATTAATCCAGGGTCGCCACAGGGAAATGAACACCGAAGAAAATATTTTGTTGCCAATAACCTAATTCAAACATGTAAATTATTATTAAAAAATTAAGATTACAACTTTAACATTAATGTTAAGATCCCTTTTCAGCCTCCTAGTTAAGTCTTCTGGCTCAACTTACTAAACGTTTTAGAATCTGTCTGTTTGTCTGCATGTGCACATACATTGTGTGTATGTGTGTATTTGGTGTGTCTGTTTTGCACACTTTTTTATGTTTTAAATTTTCAGCCTTTACTGCTGTGTTTCTTTTTTATTGTGGGTGCTTAATGAAAAGTACATGCATGTTAACCATTTTAACATAAGCTGTAAAACCAAGATACATTTAACTGTACATTTCCTGCATGTGCTTTTCACAGAGCATGCACATAAACGAAAATAAAACCTTTTAAAATAAGGCAGTCACATGATTTATTATTAAACTTATAAATAAATTAAATTCAGTTATTGCTCAACAGTTGCCACATAATTCCTTTCTTGTTTTTTTTAATGTTCTTTGTGCTTTGAGGCCAGCAGCTAATGGCTCTTTGGTCATTGACCTACATTGGGCTAAAAAAAAAGAATAAATAAAAACAAATTCTGCACTTGCTTGCGCCATGGTTCAACTCAACTCTCTAGAATAAGTGTTATTTGTATAAGCTGTGAAGTGTTCTTTTTATTTCATTGAATGAGTGCCATTTTCTGTCTTGACATCGTTTACTGTTGAATAATTTTTCTATCTTTTTATTTGAGAAAATATGAATCTCAGTTCACACACTTATCGGGCTACTAAGAAAATTATTACATGGGTACTGTATTTTATTTCTATTTGAACAGCTTATTTATACTAGTGTATAAATAAGCTTACACTTATACTGGTGACCAGAAGCAGAAAATCAGAGCACATCACATCTCTTCTCTGGTCTTTACACTGGCTCCCAGTTACATACAGAATAGATTTTAAACTAATATTGCTTGTCTATAAATCACTAAATGGCCACACTACATTACAGATATGCTCACTGAATACAAACCTAATAGATCACTCAGATCTTTAGGATCATACAAACTAGAAATTCCAAGAGTTCAGTCAAAGCATGGTGAATTGGTCTGCACCTGCTACACCCCCTGCTGCTGGAATCAGCTTCCAGAAATGATCAGATGTGCTCCAACATTAGGCACATTCAAATCAAGACTGAAAACACGTCTGTTTAGCTGTGCCTTTACTGAATGAGCACTGTGCTTCATTGAACTACTACGTCGCACTATTATGTCTTTCTTTTCTTTTTCATTCTTTTATAACCTGTTTTAACACATTTAATCTGTTTTAATTATTTGTTTCCTTTGTTTTTTTAATTTTATTATGCTTGTTTCTTTTATTCCTGTTTATTTAAAGCACTTTGAACCATCGTGTACGAAATGTGCTGTAGAAATAAACTTGTCTTGCCTTATTTATATAAAAAACACCTTATTGGATTACAATATTAAGGGATTACCACTTTATGTTTGTGCTTTCAAATTATTTTCCAGTATTTTAAATATTGTGTATGTTTACCATCATTAAATTAAATACTGTAATATATACTATATTAGCTTTTTATCGACCCTTAGCAACCATATTCTCTAAAATATCTGCCCTCAAATTATTATAAAATGATTGTTAAAACTGCAAGCAGCAATGAAAGGGACGTCGCACCCGGGCTTACTGCTGCCCGATGGCCTTAGGATGACAGAGAACAGTGCACAATAATAATTTAAGCTGATAAATGTAAAGAAACCCTGAGAAAATCACCCCTTTTTGGCAGAAGACTCTAGCTATTCGCAATACATAAACAATACTTAAATTTGGTTTTGACCTGATAATCCCTATAGGAGGAGTTGGTTAAAGTACAACGCCTAGAAATGGCAATGCCACATTTTTTTATTATTGTTATTATTTTCATTTAAGGAAGTTAAAAATGTCTGACTTCCTGTTTGATTGCAGCTTTTACTCCAATAGACTGTGTGTGTGCCATTTTTTTGTATATGAGTGTGAAACAAAGCTCGCCGGGCACTTCGTTGATTATTTATAGGTGGCGCTGTTCAGCCAGTTTGCTAAACCCACTTCTGAATCCCATAACAAACGTCAATTTTTGCCACTGCTGGTGTGTGTTACAAAATTGTGAGTTTTCGTGCATGGTCAGACCCTTAAATATGCGATTATAATAAGAAACAGAACAATTCCAATTGGGCCTACGCACCACCAGTGCTCAGTCCCTAAATAACAGAAGAAATATGTCTTGCTGATTATGTTACAGCACTGTCTGGGTATCTAAAGGAAACCTTAAAGAGTGTAAACAACTTATATTTGTGAACGGTTATTCCATTGAGGATTATTCCATTCACTTTGATGCTGTGTAAGCCACGCAGTCACATGTACATGTGCAATGTCTGAAGTTCTGAACAAATACTACAGCCCTAATATTTATGCATTTGTGTTGGTTTTTATAGTGCTGTGCATACTGTAAGCGCCTTGGAGCATCCATAAAGTGCTGTGAGGAGAGCTGCGGGCGCTCTTTTCATTACCCCTGTGCAGCTGCTGCCGGAACCTTCCAGGACATAAAGACATACACTCTCCTGTGCCCGGATTACATCCAACAAGCCCTCGTCCGATGTGAGTTTCACTGTTGTTGTTATTAGTTTCACTATTGTTGTTTTTATTTAGAGTGTCATATTATTTATTAGTTTTGTATTATTTTAAGTGGCTCAAAATTGATATCATTTAAAGCACAGCTAATTTGACATTGCACTGCATACTTCTCCACCCCTGGCAGCCAGTCACCATTCAAAAATAAAGCATTTGCCTCGTATCTCATGGTGTTGCATCAACTTTTCAAGCCGGAAGAACCAAATTGCTTAGAAAAGCAACCAATTTTTACTTCCCAAGAAAATGTGTGTGTGTCCTGATACTCTTTTCAGCAATGTGTGACCTATAGAAATAACATTTTCTGAAAGTCATAGTGTTTACATAGATATGTCAACACTTTTATTGACAAATTGGGTCAAATGTATAGTATTAACAAATGTGACATCATTTTAAACCCTCTGATCTTCTGTCATCTTTAAGCCTTAGAAATGATAAACTTTTTATTTAGAGCAGAGGTGCTTAAAGTAGGGCCCACGGGCCAAAGTTGGTCCGCCATCCCGTCTGAAAAGAAAAGGAAAATGATGGGGAGTTGGTTGGTTGGAATTCCCATTTCAAATTTACAATAACCTTTAGTTTCTTTGTTTAATTAAGGAGCTACAAAAATCAATGATGTAATTAAATGTTGTAAATGAATCAGACTTTTAAAATTTAAATAATGTCCGTTGACAGATTGACAAGGCACAAGACATCGGTGAGCAAAGCAAATACAGGAGCAGCTCGACTAGTGTATTCAGCATATATACATAAAATACATGCAGTATATTGCAAAAAGGAGAGCATCCATCCATATTTTTGCTGCATGTAAAATGTACTCTGTGGATTTAAAGGCACAATCTAAATAAATAAACTCTTCCTTTGTGTCTCTTTTCAGCGAAAGATGGTGTGAAGTGTCTGGTGTGTGACAGTTCTGGAGACTTACTCGATCAGCTCTTTTGCTGCACATGTGGTCAGCATTACCATGGGACCTGTCTGGATGTCACTGTCACCCCGCTGAAGAGGGCTGGCTGGCAGTGTCCGGAGTGCAAAGTTTGCCTCTCATGCAAGTGAGTAACCAGCTTTTTATGTCCATAACTAGTCACTCGTCATTCATAAAAACCTATGATTTTTTTAGTTGATTATTGCATTTTTAGCAAACATTCAGATTTGACCTTTTAAATTTTTTTTAGTTTTTTAGTCATTGGTATTAAACGTTATCTAATTAGACATTTTACCCATTTTCTTTTTTCATTTGTCAATCCGACTTTAATTATTAAAAAAATAAAAAATAAATAAATAAAAAAATAATAAAAAATATATTTATTACAAATATAAATAATATTATTTTTATTATTAAATTAATAAACAAATGTAATTATTACAAATTTAACTAGTGTTGTGTATTTTTTTTTTTTTTTTTGCAGCCTTGAATTAGCTTAGTGTGTATTTTAAACATACTCTCGTGAATGGAAACATGGCATGCCTTAACAGGGTGTCTTAACGGATCTTCAAAAATCTTAAAAAGTCTTAAATTTATAAATAGTATAAAAATAAGGCCTTAATTAGTCTTAAAATGTCTTAAATCTGCATTTTAAAGGTCTTGAATGCAATCGAACAGTCGAACCGCCAGAGCAAATGTGTGTGCTTGACACAGAATTACAAATCAGCCTTCACTTAACACAACACTTCAATGGACATAATTGTGAGACATTGAGCTGATGTGTACAATAGGAAGAAATAAACAAGTAAATAAATAAACGATCCTAACAAACCAAAGATCAAAGCAAATTTTCACATTATTCCATCACCATTTTCAATCAATGTAAAGTCCAAATATATCATGTATTCATTAAATCTTTGCCCCAAATCCAAATCCCTAGTATTACAAGTTGTTATTAGTCAGCTCAAAGACCATTTTAAGTTTTAACACTTTCTATATAATAAAGAGTGTTATTGATGGTATGATGGTAATTAATTAGTTGTGTGTCTTTTTTGGAAATTCGATGCTGTACAAAAAATATAGTATACCATGGGTCTTAAATTTTATTCTGTGTTATTTAAAAGGTCTTAAAAGTCTTAAATATAACTCTTAGACGCCTGCAGATTCCCTGCTTAAAGAATTTGATAGTTTGTGTGTGTGTTTTTAATGATCAATACTGACTGTGACTGCTGAGTAGGTATGGGCCGGTATAAGATTATGACGGTATGATAACCTTGGATATAAATCACGGCTTCAAGGTATCCCAGTATTGAGATTATTGCTCTAAAATATATTCTTTTTAATTATCTGGGTAAAAAACAAAACCTCTTTCCCTTTGTAAACAAAATATTTTAATTTCAGAAACATACTAAGTATTTTGGAGCCGTAAACATGTCAGGCTAAATTATTAAAATGGACTTCTGTCTTCATTTGTTTCAAAAACACAGATTTATTCCAATTTAAAACGCCATCTTTGGAGATCTTTTCTGCTGGAGATACTGCTGTCCTAAAAAAAAAAAAAAAAAAAAAAGTAAATAAAAAATCTTACTCATACCTTAGGAACGGTATAGCAGAACATTTTGATGATTTTAAAACCTTGACTTTTCCCAACCGTGGTATACCTTGAACTAGAGCTGCACAATTAATCGTAAAAAGATCGTGACCTCGATTCGACCCCCTAGACGATCTTAATCCAGCATTTCTACGATTCTGCCAGTCCAATTTTCACGTTCAAGGGAGAAGCAAAGGCGGCTGCACGAGTCTTTTCATTCTTTCACATACATTGCTCTGTGACATGGGCACCTCCAAATGATGTTGAAAGAGTCACATACTGTATTTATATTGTATAATTCACCTACAAATGTCATTTTTGTCTTCATATAATGCTGTATTCGCGGCCGGGAAATCACACGTGACGTGAGCTGCTGACTGTGAGCTGTAGTGCGGGCGCGCGCCCTACTTAATGATAGACATGCGTGTGTCTCCTTTAGTGAACAGAACCTGCTGTGAGTAACAGGTAATAAAGTTGTAAATAGTTTTGAGTTTGTGGCACAGAGTGATCGTTTGAGAGCCGCGCGTGAAGGATGAACTGCACTTAGCAGTGAAAATGAAACTGAAAGTGAGCATGTCATTTAAATAATCATATCGCATTTTACAGTTCTGACTGCGACAAGCATTTCATATGTTTTTTTCTTTCATAGCGAACACACAGTTGTGCATGAAAATAAATGTTTACAGTGTCAGTATAACTACTCTAGCCTATATAATGTTGATTTTACCAGTAAATTAAATGGTGTAATAATGTTGTCAATGATTGCAAGCATATATCTCAAACATAATTCAACATCAGAATTATTATAAGTAGAGTAGAATTATTTATAGAAACCAGTAGACGTACACATAATATTATTATTGTTGTTTTACCATATGTTTGAGAGAAAAAAATAAAAGTTGGCGACTCATATTAACCCTTATTTTACATCTACAGAATGGTGAGAGAACCGTGATCTTTATTTTAACCCAAAAAATCTCAATTCTCATTTTAGCCAGAATCGTGCTGCTCTACCTTGAACACAGTTATTGTCTCGTGCCTATTGCTAATAGATCTGATTTCCTGCACTTCAAAATGTGTGTACAAACTGTCTTGTCTATAGTGTTTTGTTGAGGAAGGCAATTGTACATGATTATACATTTAAGGCATCAGTTGCAGATTAAATGAATCGGTTGCAGTGTAAATAGATTGTAGCTTATTTAACTTCTGTCATCTACTATGTTGAGATAATGATGTTACAGTTGTAGAGAGAAAGAATGAACCTGCATCCTTCTCAATCTGTGGCTGAAAATGGATGTAATGTCTCAGCAGTGCTGTAAATATCAGACGACGTTCTCATTTAATGTGGATTTGCATTGGCTGAAAATATAGGCCTGGAAAGAGATAAATCTTCTGAACGTCACCCTCACATCCTCTCAGCTCTATAAATCTCACTTTCTCCTCTCTGATTTAGCACTTAGACGCGTTTGGGCTCTGCAAATCCACAGTGAAAGTCTTATTGCTCATGGGGAGAATGTAATGGTGTGTTTGGGTAAATGTGGAATGAGGTTGTGTTGGGCTGAAGAGGAATGGCTGTGATGCATTGAGAGTAGATATTTAAGTAGTGCCTGACAAATGCAGGTGTTTTGATTATGTGCAAAAAAAGTGTGTAAGTAATAAATAATATAAATTAAATGCATGCTCCACTTAAAGGGATCGTTCACCCAAAAATTTAAATTCCGTCATTATTTATTCACTCTTTTCTTGTTTCTTATTATTCTTTCTATTATTTTTGTCACTAAAAGGCTGTATAGACTGCAGAAATTATTTTTTAAAAGTTTAGTCTGCACCAAACAACAGGTTATTTTGGTCGTTTAGATGTTAGTCTCACTGTTGTATTGGATTGTTTGTCTACTGCAGGGCTATTCAATGAACCCGGCCCCCGAGGCAATCCGGCCCTCCAAATAGTGTGATCAAGACATCAAAATAAATTTAGTTCAGTCGAAAAACGGCCGCTATAGTTATGAAGTGACGTGCGTCTGTTCAATACAGCATGAGCTGCAGAGGCTGCACAGAGCGTGAATTACCGTAAGCGAGTAGCGCGGGCAGCCGAAAACATTTGGATGTGTTTGTAGAAAAGGTCTTTTGTACTATGCATTGATATTGCCATTAGGAATGCAACGATTAGCTGATTTCACTATTAACTGCGCTTTACTTTGTCACAGTTAATTAACCACTTAAACTCTGCTGTTATTTGGGGATTTCCGCCCGGGTTTTGCCTTACCAAATTTAAAAGCTTCCCAAATCCACATGCAGAGGTGTAAATGCAAAAATTTGGTATCATTTTAAAGAAAACCCTTTGAATTTTCATAAAACACTATTGAAAGTGTTTAAAATGACTGTATATGTTGTCTGTGTTATAATAAACACCAAAAAAAAGAGGCGCTTTTTGTATTTTATTTTTTATAAACTCAAATTTGAAAGTGTACCTTTTAGGTTCTGTGTGGTCTAGCGTGCTGTAATTAATTTTGGTGGTTCCTGCACATGTCTAATCATAGGAAAAAAGAAAAAGGTATCTACCATAATCTATGCAAAAGTTATTGCATTCCAATTGATGAGAGGTGCTGTACAAGCCACAGGGATTGATCATTGTTTACATATTCCACTATTCTTTTGTTTGATCAAACATAATTCACTGTGTTTGGACCACGTCAGACATATAAAAGAATTACTTATGCACATCACCTCAAAAACAGAGGAGAATAGCCCTGAAGCACACAGCATAAGGTAAGAGATGACAGCTGTCTGTGCTATCTGGGGCTGCTTATTGATCATGAATGTATTGTTTACATTTCTGCACCATGGAAACACCACAATTCATTCAACAACTGTTTGGCTTATAAATATAATTCAGTAAAAAGAATGCTAGAACTGTATGAGCACCGGCAAGAGATTTCATTTGAGCTACAACTTGTACATGTGTCATATAAAATAATATGAAAATGAACCAATGTAAAATACCTAGCTCGGGTATCCAAAATACTGTGTATTTAAGTGTAAATAACTTTTGTACAGTAGAATAAAAACCAAAGTGATGCATATGTGCATAAAATATCGATTCTACACTTTCAAACGACACCACTTACGGGGGTCTGGTGCAACGCTAGCCCTTTAAATCTGAAATCGAATGTTGATGATGTCACGGACCCGGAGTTTAAGTGGTTAATCGTAAAGGCTTAAGCCGCATTTCTGTTGCACGGAACAAAATGAAACTGCTGCAATTAAACAAGTTATGCCAAGTTTTCAACTGTACGCTAGTTTAAAGTTCCAAGTATGTACACTGCGGCTAATACGCACACACACACCGGTTAAACTATAGCAGCAGCCGTTCCCATATCACGTCTTTTCTGCTTTCAAGTTTGTTATTTCTAATGTAAGAATATATGACAATATGCACGCACAAGCAGAGCAACGTGCTTGTGTCTTTCCGGGCACACGCAGTAGAAAACATCTCACGATGAGAATTGTGCATGTCTTTCAGTGCAATGTAAACAAAAGATATGTTATGTAAAATAAAATACAAGTTAAAAATAACATATGAAAAGGTCTGAATGTAGAAAAAGCATGTGGAAATGTAGAACACTTCAGCAATGCACTACATTTGAATGTTTGTAAAAAAAAAAAAAAGTCTATTGTATAATGCAATGATATTATGTAGCTTCAAAATACGATATACATAAAAATTTTAATGCATAAAAAGCCAACGTGGGTGTCTTAAGGAAAAATACAGCATATGGGCTTCTATATGCAGTTGTGTTATCACTCATATAGCAAGTCATATTTCTCCGGCCCTTTATTTGGGATGCTTTTCATGAACCGGCCCCCATGACAAACTAATTAAATAGCCCTGGTCTACTGTGAAACCCCGTTGGTCCATTCCTGCTCCACATGCTGCACAATAAACATCACATCTCAACTAAAGACACTTTCGCTTCTCTCACAGACATGCAGATTGTTGTTGCTGAAACTGTCCGCTATCTGTTTACAGAATATAGGTCAGGACGTCTCGTTTGGGAATTTGCAAAAGCCCCAAACCCTGTACCTGAGATGCTCTCTGTGTGAGATCTTTAATCTTGTGTATCTGTTTTTTTTTTTTTATTGTCTGGTTTGTAGAAACCCAGGGGACGACAGCAAGATGCTGGTGTGTGACATGTGTGATAAAGGGTATCATACCTTCTGCCTGCAGCCCATCATGGAAACAATACCCACCAATGGCTGGAGGTGCAAGGTAAGCCCGTGTTTGTATACTGACTACCAAACAGCATTGGGACTGTGATGCTGGCCTGCTGTGTATAAAGAGACACTGTGCTTTCATTTTCACTTTGAGCCTGGAACACCCAACATACACGTCTCTTTTTTTCTGGTGTGTTTATAGACTGTGGACTTAAAGAGTCTCCAGCATACTGTATATTCTCTCTGGAATGAGGATGGAGCTGTATTCAATCGCCACGATGAATAAATTACCTTCAAAACGCTTTAGTTTAATTATTCCTAATGTGCATGCTGTGCATAGATGCTTTTGATGCATGTCTTGTGTAGCCTCACTTATGGTGTTGGCTGACTTGGAAGGGATGTGTGTGTGAGTGAGTTGTGGCATAGATGTGTTAGTTTTCTCCATTGGGGATTTTTAAATCCATAAGCCAAAGCAGTTAGTTCTCCATTTAGTCAAAAGGAGTCGAAGTTGGATTTAAAAGGGGAAAAATTAAATTAAGGCATTGTAACTGAATATTTAGATTCTATGCAGACCTCTTGACTACAAGTCACTGTAATAAATGTGTTTTATTATATGTTATATTTCTATATGTAATAATTTTTTTAGCAACCCGATAAGTGTGTGTGAACTGAGACATGGAGTTGAACCGGATTTTGGTAAAAACCCAAACAAAATAAACATTAAAAAAAAAAATCTGAAATGAGTAATGTGTAATAACAACAAAATGACAAAAGGAGAATTAATTGAACTACTGAAGTGTATTTAATACTTTATATAAAAGGTTATTATGTTGGTGACAGCTGAAAGACGCCTCTCATATGAAGAATGAAGTCACATGAGTTGCTTAGGGTTGTGTTTTTCTCTTCAGCAGAGTGTAAAAATCTTGATGGTTCTGTGAGACTCGGCTATTAAATCTAATCTGTATTTTGTATTTTCTGTTGGGTTCAAGTCAGGTGATTGGCTGGGCCATTCCACAGATTTATTTTCTTTCTCTAAAAGCTTTTGAGAGATTCCTTGGCTGTGTTTTGGATCATTGTTTTGCTGAAATGTCTGGTTTCATCTTCACCATCCTGCTAGATGTTGGACTGAAGCAGCTAAAATTCATTTACAATGACCATAGGTCTCAAACTCAATTCCTGGAAGGCTGCAGCTCTGCACAGTTTTGCTCCTATCCTAATCTAACACAGCTCATCCAACTAATCAAGGTGTTTCGAGACTCTTTTGATTAGGGTTGGAGCAAAACTGTGCAGAGCTGCGGCCCTCCAGGAATTGAGTTTGAGACCCATGACAATGACGAAGGGCAGAGAGTTGCTGAAGAACTGTTAAGAGATTTCAGCTGCTGTCTGGGCATTCACTGCCTTTCTACACCTCCCTTTCTTCATGTGTTTAATACTTTTTGCCTGTCGTTTCTTTTTATTACTTAAAGCTTAATTTTTGATCTAGGTTTGTTTTCTTTGCATATATGGATTTCTACGGTTGTTATAAACATCCGATAAAAACCTTAAGTCAACAGCACCTAGAAATATGTTTTATAAGAAAATTGGTTCAACACATTTGTTCAATACTTTGGTCTAATCCCAATTCTCCTCCTTAACCCCTCCCATAACCCTCAAAAGACACTCAAATAGCGTGTCAGAAAAGTCTAGTGACTGAGAATGACCTTTTCACAGTGACTGCTATATGGTTAATGATGTTTTCCTTTGTTTACATTGATGAATAAGGTCACGGTGTAAATGCACTGTATAGTTGCGAGCTTATTGTCACATTAGATCATTATGATAACGTGATATTGTTGCCTTCAGTGATTTCCGGAGGATAAATACCAAAAATATAACGCAACTGGAATAACTACAGCAGTCGTCATCGTCTATCTCATATGAAGCAAGAGCTTGCGATGACATATGATGCCGGTGCTGTAGTGGTGTCCCATTTCTTAGGGGTAAATTTTAAAGTCCTTCCCCTTCATACTCTGTTGGAAGGGGAAAGGGTAGGGGTACAAAAATCACACGACTTGCCTAATTAACCTAAACTGCCTAGTTAACCTAATCAACCCAGTTTAACTATTAACTTTATGGTTAGTATAATATATATGATGTGTCCAGTAAAAAAGCACTCTACAAACAACTGCAAATGAATACAATACAGCAAAGATACCAGTAAAATAAATAGTGCTTTTTTAGGTTTTTATTGTTATCTAACAATAGATAGCAGGTATAGAAACTGAATAATATGATCAAATATACATTGCATACTGTATGCCAACTTCACTGTATAAATGAAATGCAACTTAACACAATGTGATAATGTGACTTATGACAATGTGTATAGTTACACACTATACTGTAAATTACAACAGCTATTCAGCCAGGAGCTGTGAGGGATTTCTAGAATTTTATAGTTTTTTGCAGTTTGTTGAACATTAAAAACAGACAGCATAAATAAGATATTTTCGATTTAAGACAATCTAAAGAAGAGGCAGAAGATTGAAAAAGTTACAAACGATAAATAATTTCTTAAATGTTTACATTCTACGGCATAATCGATTGAATACTAGTCAAATTGGGCACCTCGACATAATTATTGAACGTAGAATTTGTCCGTTCAGAAGAAACTTTCATTCACAAGTTCAGATGAGTGCACTTCTCAAATCTCGAGAGCGAGTTCTCTTTACATCTCGAGACTCATTATTTAAATAACAACAGCTTTAAGTAAATTAGTTGAAAAACATAATAATGCGTAATAATGATGATTAACTGGACATACTGCACTCAGAATGAGTTTACAAACCCTTACTCTGCTTTAAGTTTGTGTTGATGTTGTGTTGACTACTGTGTTTTGCATTGGTACAAATTCCACTTGGTTACACATCGCTTTCACGTGAAAGTGTTCCTAACTTTAGTGCTTACTAATTGTACATTGCTTGTGTAGACATACATTTAAAGCCAATTCAAAGAGTAATAAATAGCATGGGGGAAAATGATACATTAAAATCCAAAACCAAAAAAAAAAAGCCATTTATATAGGAGTATTGAACCATAGAGGTTGTACCAAACAGTTCAATATTGTATTAAGTATCATGGCATACCTAATTTATATCTTTATAAATATATAAGCTGAACCAAATCCTACACCGATCCCTGTCAGACTGCTTCTGTCACTTCGTGGAGGCGTTCAAGAAGCCCCACCTGTCATTTAGGACTTAGAAAAGGAGTCTGTCCATCATCAGAGAGGCTTGGATTTCCCGCAAAGGGTCTGTGGGTGGTTATTAGAGTTGATACATGTCCCTCTTCAGCAGGATGAAATGCTGCTCTTGATGAGCTTGAAGTGCCTTTTATTTATGTATTTTTTTAATTGACATGGAATTTTGTGGTGCTTTTGCTCCTATTGAGCTCTGAAGCAGTCTGATGAACAAGATTTTGAGGATTTGTAGAGCCGTAATTATGCTGGAGCTCAATCTGAAATGATTTTAGGAGAGCCTTTTTTGAATGTTTGCAGTTGACAGTTTGTTGTTAGGTTCAAGTGTCATTGTTTCTATGCGATGTGTTGCTATAACTAAACCTATTTGTTTTTAAATATTGGTTTTAATACTTGAACAAATTTCACACAATTTAGATGCAAATATGTACAATTGCTGTCATTTGGCAGTATTGGTTTATTCACAGTAAGTTTAAACATGAAGTAGTCTGAAAATAGTGAGAGATTCAGATCAAGTCAAGATGAGGGAAAACTGTTAGCTGTCAAATACAAATTAATTGATTGATTGGCTGTTTAAATGGTTGATTGATTGATTGATTGATTGATTGATTGGCTGTTTGTTTAAAAGGTTAGTTGATTGGTTGACTGATTGGCTGCTTATTTGAATGGTTGGTTGGTGGATTGATTGGCTGCTTGATTAATTGATTGGTTATTTTGTTGTTTGTTTAATTGATTAGCTATTTGTTTGAATGGTTGATTGATTGATTGGCTATTTTGTTGTTTGGTTGGTTAATTGATTGATTGGCTATTTGTTTGGTTGGTTGGTTGGTTGGTTGGTTGGTTTGTTGGTTGGTTGGTTGGTTGGTTGGTTGGTTGGTTGATTGATTGATTGATTGATTGATTGGCTATTAGTTTGGTTGGTTGGCTGATTGATTGTTTTTTTATTTGAATCATTAATTGATTGATAGGTGGAATGACTGATTGATTGGCTGTTTGTTTGAATGGTTGGTTGGTTGGTTGATGGATTGATTGGCTTATTGATTAGTTGGTTGGTTGGTTGGTTGATTCGTTGTCGTTGTTGTTTTTTTGATTGATTGATTGATTGATTGATGGGTGGAATGATTGATTGGTTGATTGGCAGTTTGGTTGAATGATTTGGTGATTGGTAGTTTGTTTGAATAATTGGTTGATTGATTGATTAGCTGATTAATTAATTGATTGGTTATTTAGTTGTTTGGTTGATTGATTGATTGATTTTTTGATTGATTAATTTGATAAATTCATTGATGGATCAATTGATTTATTGGCTGTTTGTTTGAATGGTTGCTTGGCTGGTTGGTTAGTTGATTGGCTGTCTGTTTAAATGGTTGTTTGATTGATCAATTGATTGATTGGCTGGCTGACTGATTGATTAATTGATTGGGTATTTAGTTGTTTGGTTGGTTGATTGATTATTTAGTTGATTGATTTGATTGATTTGATTGATTGATTGATTGATTGATTGATTGATTGATTGATTGATTGATTGATTGATTGATTGATTGATTGATTGATTGATTGATTGATTGATTGATTGGCATTTACAATGTTGCTGTTCTTTTGAACTTGCTTCACAATAAATAACTCTAGAACATGAAAAAAGGATTCTCAAATAAATTTGTTGTATAGTGTTGTTGTAAAGTTGTAATATGCTCAATGAAAGTAATTTAAAATGTTTTTTTTTCTGTCATAATTGCGTGATCGTGCATTAAATGATGTTGAAGTAAATTTGAACGTTGTGTTTTGCAGAACTGCCGGACATGTGCTCAGTGTGGCATGAGGCCTAACGGCCAGTGGTCGTCTAATGGTGTAATGTGTGAAGGATGTCAACAACAGCATGAATCAGCGCTTCTCTGCCTCATCTGTGGGCAGAGTCAGGACTCCGGCAGCCCTGCGGACAAACACACATGCTGCACATGCAAGAGGTAGGAAATTACAGCCCTTTAGCCATTACAATGAAACACATTCGCATATTAGGATGGATATTATTTTATTAGGGAAATTCATTAAGTGTCATCCTTTAGTGCTTTAGTGTTTGATTTCTAAATGTTGGTTGAATTTCAACGGTTTCCTGCTCTCTGCAGGCAGTATTTCACCACTTAAAAACACATTGTGCTTGACTCAAACCATGTTTGCACTGACTGGACATTTTTACAGTGCCACAAGAAATGTTGAAATGTTTTAATTATTTTTTTCCCTTACATCTAAATCAATTTGAAGCAGACATGTAAACATGAAAATCAATGCAAAATTGACTTTTTTACATCCATTCTAAGCCACCTCCAAATGTCTTTATTATTCAGATTCTTATCCAATATCAAGACGTCTGACCCATGTTTAAACACATATCCTAATCTCCTTTAACATCCAAGCCATCACAGTGAAAAGATAGCATTTTAATGTGGTATTGTGAAGCAGACAAACTCTCTCAAAATTGAGGTTAAAAATGTTGGTAAGAGATTGTGCAGAGCATAGAAACTTTCTTTGAAACACTACACTGTCCGTTAAAATATATATGACTGCTTCACTATTGAAAACTACATTATATTTCTCATCAACAAGATGATTACTTTTGCTCATAGCTTCATTAGTTCACACAGATCCTTTACAAAATGTACAAAGAAATCACCTTTTTATCTCAGCTTCCACCCTCTAAATTTAAAAGTATGGCTTTGCAAACCCAAGGAACAACCATGTCAATAGTAATTTAAAGTAATCAAAAATAACCCTTTTAGCTATTGTTTTCAGCAGGCATTATAGATATCAGTCATGTCTCAGCATTTGTAACCAGCACCATGTGCTTTCTAATATTATTAATGCTAGTCTTCATTCTGGCAATAAAGTCCATTATTGGTGTGAGGACTCACTAATTGTTGATGAATAGCTGATTACCTCTCTCCAAGCTTCAAAGACTATGATTAACCAATAGAGCACATGAAATCAAATTCAAAGGACATTGTAATTGAACCACCAGCTTTTGAGTGTGGCCCACTGATGTCTTTCTCATATCCTTACATAATATGAAAGGCAGATAGATTTGATTATCCTGATTTGAGTTGGTTACAGATATGCAATTATGCATGTTGCATTTTGTGCCATTTATGTAAAACTAGTCTTCGCAACAACAACCAAACGATCTGTTATCCTTTCAGTATTGTAAGTTTTGACTGACGTATTTAGTTCATCTGATTCTATTAGCTCAAAGGTTATTGTAGTTATGGTATGGTTACAAGCAGGTAAATAGTTTCTAGATTTCCCCCACTTACCATATTTTGTCTTTTCAAACTTTCAAGCTCAATGATTTCTGTCACTTTTGATTCCCTGTGTTTTTAGATTTAACACAGGATCAGTAACATTACCTGTGGCTCACACAAATTCCAAACTCTACCATTGGTTGCAAAAACAGACAGCCCAACTGCTGAACTAGGAAGCATTGAAGTTTTTTAAAGCATCACTTCAGGAATTCAACTAATGTCTGGCTTATTTATAAAATGGCTGACTGGCATAAATGGGGAATTAAAAGAAAATGTATTTTTGTAACTTTTTAATCCAGCATTTACAATAGGCATATTTCAAACAAGATTGTGCACCAGGATTAAAACTAAATGCATGTTTTTTTCTATAGTGTAGCCACAAGGTTTATGAACAGAAGAATCAATGCATGAGATAAGTTTACTAACAAGTTACTTATCATAATAAGTAAATCATTGACTTCTGCTCTCTTCATTAGTCTCAGAAGCACAGATTTCTTTACAACACATTTAAAAAATACATTAGGAACGGTATAACAGAAAAATTTTGTGGTCTATTTTTCCATAGTAAACCTTGAAACCGTTTATCATCCCATGCCTAAATGGAAGTGAAACTGCTAAAACATAAAAATTAATTGCCCAAAAATTACATGATTACATACATTTTCATGTGAAAGTGCACAGGAAGTGCAGCCAGTCAGAGTTTAAAGCTAATTATTTTGCTGTGTTTAAGTGTCCTTTATGGGAAAATTCATTCAAGTAGAAATAAAATAAAATTGGGTAGAAGTTGATATAAAAAAGCACCTAAAAAGTTTTGCAGTCTGTGATTTTTAGTTTTAAAAAATAGTTTTTAGTTGAATAAAATACTATTTTCCATTCATTTATTTCATTATAGAAGATTTCTTAAAAACGGCGTAAAAGTCTTGTCTTATTCTTGTGAACCCAATCTCATGTCTCGTCTTGTGCAATAAGCGCCTTCAGTTCTCCAAAATTTCACTATATGACCATGCAAACGGTCACTTAGCTTGTATTATTGGGTGTATGGTACACCATCTTAAGCATAAGTTTATAGGAAAGTAAAAAAAGGGACACAAATTGATGGGAAATAACATCTGTATTCAGCAAGCTTTGCTACTCTAATAACACATTTTTACCTCTGGCATAGAGTTTACTAGTATTTACACTGGAAATTATTACAATATGAAGAATAGCAATTAGCATCAGCTTACCAAAATGAATAGATTAACTATTAGCGTTCGCTTCCCAAAATACAATCTAATAATTATTAAATGCTTAACAGCATGCAGGAGAATTTATAGGCAGAATGCGTTTCCTCAGTGAGGGAATTGATGGGATGGTTGTCACAGATGGTTGTGTGTGTTTCTCTATCAGATGGGTTCACGTGGACTGTGTGAGGCAGGAGGGCACTAACCCTGACACCCAGCTTCAGGATGGGTACACCTGCAGAGCATGTAAGCAGGTGGAGGAGGAGACCAGACACAGTCAACCTGTCAGCAGCCAGGAGGCTTCTCTCACTGACCCAGAGCCAGCCGAAGGTGAGTACACACAGCTCACAGCGCTCAACATGCATCTGATCGGCTTGTTAGCCTTGCAGTTTGCAGTATTATTTGTAGAGCTTCTGTAGAATAGATGGCATTTATTTTGTGGAACTCAAGTGAAAAAAAGCTATCTATTTAAGTTAGGGAACCATAAAATCTAGTTTTGATCTGGGTTGTGAGACATAGGATACAGATGTGAAAAAAACAGGTGAAAGCATGGTCTTTGTGTAATCTGTCTAGAGGTGGTCAGCTGAGGCAGATTGCAGTTTGCTCCTGGCATTAACCTGCCTATCAAATTCATCTGCTGTGACCACTTGTCATCGGGTTACAAAGCAAGGGTCTTTCTTGCCCCTTAAGTGTTAAAATAGCACAAATGACGATGCTATGTGGTTGAATGCGTTTTGACCAGCTGAAATTGAATGCTTTCACACCCCTGTGTTCAGGGCTGAGATTTCCTGATTATTGGACTTAGATCAAATCATTCCTAGTTTTGATTTAACACATAATAAAATACATGATTTTCCTTTTTCATTCTTATTTCTTTTCTGCCCTTTTCTTGTTTTTTAATTAAAGGCAGTGAAACTTTTTATTTTGTCCTGAATTAGTTTCGTGAGCCTATAATGATTTATATTTAAGACTGTAGAATATTCAAGACATGTCAATTGAATGGGGAAAAGTGTAACAGTCAATATGGCAAATTAAGCTCCGCCCTCTAGTACAGGAGCCAATCATCAGTTGATATAGACTGACGATTCTCTGGACGAGGGGCTTGAACCAGATGTGAGTTTCTGCAGATTTTGTGTGATTCGAATGTTTAGAAATGAAACGATGGACACAGATTTTGCATTATTTGCTTACCATATAGTTTTTTGATTTGTGTTCTTGTGTGTTCTTGTGAATTAAAACATTTTTGTGATGATCACAGAAGCTATTGGCATGATTGCATGAACCTCTCTTCTGTCGGTGACTGTAATTGCAGTGTGTTTTTCAGTTCAGATAGAGACCTGAGCGTGTTAGCAGGTTGAGAAACACCACCGCCACATCTTTATACATCATTTATAATCTGCCCTAAATGAACGTTTGCATTTTTCAGTATCGTGTGTTGGGGGAGGGCCACATGGGTACCGTATACTCCCACCATGTGATGTCAGCATGAATTGAAAATTACTTTCTTTACTTTTTACATTTTTTATTTGAAGGGTCAGAGTTATCAACTCTGCGCATCGATGGATTTGCTCTTCAGTGTTTGGACTTTCAGCAGTGAAAATTAAACCACACTCACCTGAATTAAACTGAAATTTAGAATCTCTGAAAACCGGACTCCTGATTTGCCATATAAAGAAGGTGTTTGAGACTGAATTTTGCACGATTAGTGATTCGAAAAGTTACACAGTTATGTTTGCAGCTGTACTTATTGTATAGGCATTTGTAATAATAATAATAAGAGCACTCTAAGATTACAGATTATATGTTAGCATATGAGTTAAATATTGGTAAAGTTTTGCTGCATAAATTATGCAGTGCTTTGTTGGTTAACAAGGGTTTTAAAAATCTATTTGGAACCTGACTGGAAACCAGTGCAAAGATTCCAAGATAGGAGTTATATATTTGCTAACCCTTGAAATCAGGGCTTCCCAATGTATCGTTTCAGCATATCGTTTCATTTGCAATGGTCACATTACAAGCATAGGCTAGTCTAGATTACATTCTAGTCTAGATTATAATGTATCATTTCACAAGTGTTTTTTGAGGCCCGTGATTGTGTGAGGTTTTTAAAAACATTCAGGCATAGGAAATTGTACCGTTTGTAACTTTAACAAATTAATAATGATTCTTTTATTGAATTGATTATAAAACAAAGACTATGCAGTCTTATTTGACATTTAATTATTCAATTACTGTACCTGACCTGATACCTAAAGTTTGACTCATTTTAAAATTGAAGTCTATTTAAAGTTCAGAAAGCAATTTATTTAATTTGTATGTTTTTTATTATTGAATTTATCCATGCTTGCGGATTGTTTATTATGTTTTATGTGTTCCTATACAGAATTATCCTAATTAATTAATTCTTTCGTCATTCAACTCATCTAGTGAATTAGTATTCATATTGCAATATATACTGCAGAATAAAAACAAATATTGCATTTATCTAGAGTTGATTGAGCATCGATCAGTATTGTAAATGTTTGGCGAGTGTAGATTGTTTGATTGAAAGAAAAAAGTAAGATTGTTTACTAACGTTTGTGTTTTACACACTACAGGTGCTCTTATCATTGGCGCTGCTTGGTTACAACCTAATTTTTCCTGCCCTTAGATTGCATTGATCATTATGGAAATTAGCTTCTTCATGTTTTTTATTTCATTTTATTATTATTTGTGCAGAGTTTGCATTCTTATGACTGCTTTTATTGCTTGGGCATTGCTCTCTCATTGTAAATTGCCCTCTTTAGTAAAAGTGGTTCGCAGTGTTTTGTCATTCCTGAAATCTATTTTTGGTCCGTTCATAACATCTTGCAGTGTGTCATAATTTCGAAAATGCTTTTCAGTTGCCATTTCGATTTGAGTTCAATGAGCTCAAGTTTTTGAGTTCCCAAAAAGATTTTGGTAATACTATGTTTTATATTTTTTAAAGGGCACCTATGATTAAAATCATATTTTGTAAGCTTTTTGGACAGAACTTTAGGTACAGTAGTGTGTCCACACAGTCATATTGGGGTGATGGAAAGAAAACAAGTCTCTTTTTTAAAATTTCCCGATGTTAAAATAGGATCCAAATCCCTCCCATTTTGAAGCTGACCGCAACGTGATGTAGGAGTGGGGTTTCCCCGCCCACCAAATTGATTGACAGCAGTGTATTAACATGTCTCCAAAGTATTGCATATAATCATATCAACAAGACAGGTCATGCGCAAAGCACCTGGGATTAAAATATCTGTTCAGCTCTCTATGATCATTAGTCATCATCAAATGTGATCAAGAATGAGTTTTACAAGTTTAAAACGTTTTTTAAAAAAGTGCATGCTTGTAATAAAATACAACAATTTTACCATCTTTACTTCATCCCCACAGCCGCATGTCAATACAATTATAAAAGAAGAATCTTCAATTCCAGTTTGTGGACTTAAATCAGGTTTATTTTGTACGCTAACATAACGGATATCCATTCAGCAGTGGATACTAACGTCTATCCTGTCACATTTGAAACAGTGCAAAGTTATATGTGTACGCTGTGTGTGTGCGTGAACTTTGTAACAACATTGTGTGTGACTCATCTTTGCAGAAAGGCCTGAATTAACTCCACAACAAATACATCAAATAATCATTGGGAAAGTTCTTACTGTAAAACACTGTAAAACCCAACAGTCAACTTTATCAAATGAAATGAATGTAGTTAACTCAAAATTTACTGAAAGTTTATTCTACTCATTTGAAAAGAGTTTTGAACTCAGTGTTGAAGGTAAAGAGTTCATTAAATACCTCATTACTTCAACTTAAATGAAGTAAGTTCATATTGCTCATATAGATTAGTTTTTGACTCAAATGGTCTGTAGCAATCGGTTTCCTCGATCGGTTTGAGTTCCCTTAACTAATTGGGTTTTACAGTACTCGTTTGGTTTGAGTTCTCTTCATTTATCGGGTTTTACTGTGCTCAAATAGCTTTTTTTACTCAAATGTAGTAAGTTCACACTACTCATTACAATTAGTTTTTGAACTTAAACGGTTTGTTGCAATATGTTTCCTCAAATGGTTTTAGTTACCTCAACTCTTTGGGTTTTACAGTGTATTTCTCACGAACGTCACGTGAGATCTACTTCCTTCATGTCTGTCACTGTGCTGTTTATCTGACGCAGCTGAGGCGGCGATTGAGGCACACTCTGACAGGCATATGGGAACAGTGGTCAGGGAAAACAGGCACCAAAAACAGCTACATTGTGTTCAGAGCTGAAAATCCAATGTTCAGAAATAATAAATAATCTAAAGGGTGTTTTGAGCTGAAACTTTAAAGACACATTCTGGAGACACAAAAAGACTTAAATCTTAAAAGTGGGTAAAATAGGTGAGCTTTATAATAACTACAATGCTCTATAAAATTGAAGTTGAACCAAGAAATTTAATCAGTTACTGGCTTCTGGTGCTGCCAGTGCCAGCTGGTAAGCTATTTTCATGACCCTTGAAGCTAAAAGCAAAATTTGTTTTCCTTGTGCCCATTATTAAGAACTGCAATGACATTGGACTCTTCCTGAAGCTTGATGGCACACAGATGAATTTGCTGTGTGCCTTTCGCAATGCTAACATCCCCCAACTGCACCTTATTACCAATGCTTTTTTTTTTCTTCCTGTGGGCCTGTGGTGGGGAGTTGATATATGTTGGCATGTGGTTGGCAGAAAAGGATACAATCAGACCCGGCTGTAAGGGCTCTTTGTAAAGCCAGTCATGCCGGCAGCAATGCACTGGGCCACTGCCAGCAGCTAGAGGAAGCAATCATCCCATTGTTGGGCCCCCAAGAGAGATGACTCTAATCAAGACAGAGACGCCCACCTGTTAACCAACCCTACCACACCCCCGCTTCCTGATAAACACACAACGAGCGCACACATGCACACGTACATACTAGGGTTGTCACGACACCATCACTTCAGTAGCTGGAAGCTAATTTCACTGTCTCTGTGTCAATATTAACACCACAGCAAAACTAATATTTAAATTAATTTGGTCACCCTCAGGCCATCCAGTGTGTAGGGTTTTTCCCTTCACCAAAAGGATGTTACAGCTCATATAAAAGTGTATCTGTATAAAAAAAAAAAGATAATTATTTGTGTAAACAGTTAAAATAATGAGGAGAACTCATGAAAAACAAGAATTATAGATTTAAAGTGCCCCTAATATGGATTATAAATGGTTCATATTATGATTTGGGGACTCCCTAACAACAGGCGGATATGCATGCTAGGTCTAAAAACACTTTCATTCTCTTATAATATGCTTGTATTTT